CCCCAGAAGGGACCCTGATTTAGAGAACTATCCAAAAGGCAGCGCACCATTTTGCGCCTCCTGCGTCTCGCGGCCCGGCGCCGCAGTGCGGGGAGCGACTGGGAGGCGCTGCTGACGCAGCTGCTTGGTCTCTGGGGAGGGCTTCAGGGTACAATATAGTGTTTTTTTAATATGTATATATATATATATATATATGTATGTATGTATGTATATATATATATATATTTATACTATATTATACATACATATATATATATACACACACCTATATTTGGCAATATCTGGGTATATTAGAGTATGCAATAGTATGCTTTGGTATGTTACGGTGTAACGTGTAGTGTGGTATGTTATGGTATACAGTGGTATATCATGTTATAGGATAACAAGTATCTCATAGTAACTTGGGGTTCGGGGCTTAGGCTTGTTTAGGGTCGAGGGTTTAGGGCTTAACCGACTGTTCCGGGCGAGAGAAGCCTGCTGCAAAAGGGCTTAAGCGGGGTTTAAGGCTTTAGGGCTTGCTTGTTTGAAGGGTTTTTACTTGCCAACTATTATATGGTCCTTTTATCGCTTTTTCCGAGGCTGGACACGCGACTGCTTGAGCCAATCTTACCACAGATCCTGGCCTACATGAACAGCTTCTTGGGCCTGTGATCCGACAACCTGAACCCTAAAACCTTAGCCTTCATCTATAAACCCTAAGCCTAAGCCTAGAAAGTCGAGGTTTATGGTCTTGCGGTTTAGGGCTGAGGATGCCCACACGCACACAGACATAGGTGCTCTTTCGACTGGAGGCAGTCTTGAGGATCGCCTTGTCCGAAAGCTCTCCGAGACCTCAGGTGCTCAGGTTTTTCAGGGTTTAGGGTTTAGGGTTTAAGGTGACAGCTGTCCTGGAGCCAGTTGCAAAGGGTTTAGGGTGGCGGTGAGGTTTCCAGGTTCAGTTTTGTTCGCTTGGTTGGAGATCGCAGGCTCTATGAACTCCGAAGTCAGAAGCTTCAGCCCCAGGTCCGGACGATGTCTCTGGCATGAGCACGACGGCGGCAGGTAGGCCTCTTAGAGTTTAGGGTACAGCGCCCAGGGCTGGGCAGTAGGCATGTTGCCTTCTTGCAGCATTGGGGCTATGACTTCTTGGAGGCCTGTCCTTTTTGATACCCTAAACCCTAAAGCTTGTCCGAGTTGTGAGAACATAAACCCTAAACCTCTGCAATAGTCGCCATCACCTTCTCATGTGACTGGGATCCAGGATGTCTCGCGGCAACTTAGGGGCTGCTGACTGCGAGTGCAGGACGCGGAGTTCCTACATCACCCTCTCCAGGGGAGTCTACTGATCATGGGTTCCTTTTCAAGGGTTTACGGTTTGGGGTTCAGGCTTTCTATAAGGGGAACTTTACTACAGAAGCCTCAGTCCCAATAACCCTGAACCGTCTTTCAAGCACTGCACCTGCCCTGCTACGCGGGTCTCGTCATAGCCATGCGTGAGGCCCAAAGCTTAAGCTCTAAATCCGTAAACCGGAAGCCCCGAAGCCAAACCCTAAACTCTAAACCCTAGGAGCCACTGCGCCGCTGCCTGTCTCTGGAGCATACCCTGCAATGCGGGCTCGTCCTTGCTACGTAGGAGGGAAAAAAACCTTGAATCGATTAAGTTTCCGAGAGGGGGCTTGCTGTGCACAGGCCTTTTCGCTCGGGTGGCGACGGCATCCCCACACACAGCGCTGTTTCCGGTACCCTTGCTGCGTTCTGGGTTGACGTGAGAGCTTCAAAAGACGGCAGGGTGGAAGGCTTCAAGAACGGTGTAATCAGCCCTAAACCCTACGTAAGCCCTAAGCCCTAAGCCCACTAAGTGGTAGTGTTAATGGCTTTCAGGGTTTGCTTGGTCTTCAGCTACGGCTCAGGCTTCCAGAATGACCCAAAAACCCTAAAGTCAAAGCCCTAATGCCTTAATGAAGCCCTAAACTCTAAACATGCCTAAGCCGCATAGAGGGGTACCCAAATGCCGAGCAACCAATAATAAGTAACATTATAGATGTATGCTCCAAAAACCCTATTCCAAGTATTAGGCCGACTGACTACCCATCAGGACCACGCAACCTAGTCTAAAGACTGGGGCTGGGGCCTGTTGTATTAGCCCTGAACCCTAAACCCTAAACCCTACCCCAAATGCCTCGCCTGGAGTGTCCGAGCGTGAGCGCCGAAACCGTACTATACGGGCCCTAATAATTAGAATAGGGTGTTGGGGCCCCTTATACTATAATCAGAAGAAGGAGCCACCCAAAAACAGTATAGGTAATTATTAATTTAGGCCTAAACCCTAAACCCTAAACCCTTACTCCTTTTGAATGGCCAAAGAGGTCGGGCTCCAAACGCCCAGCGGAATTACCGCTTTTCAGACTGCTGCAGGATGGAAAAAGGGTCGTTCAAAAAAAACGGGTTTTGGGGCCCATTATACTATAATCAGAATAAGGAACCCCCAAAATAGTATAGGTAATTATTTAAGCCCCTATATTAGAGCCCCAAAGCCCTAAAGACGGTTAAGGGTATTAGGGAGACCCCGAACTGAAGCTTCAATGCC